ACTTTAAATACTGCTTCGAGATCCGCTAAGTGCTGCTGCTTGTCGCGACTGTAGACGAGTATGTCATCGAGGTAAACTATCACGCATTTATCTAAGAGTGGCCTAAACGCCTCATTCATGGTCATCTGAAATGTTGCGGGCGCGTTGGTCAGCCCGAAAGGCATCACCGTGTACTCAAACGACCCGTACCTAGTCCTAAATGCTGTCTTGGCGCAGTCCGATGGTTTGACCCGAATCTGATGGTAACCCCCCCGTAAGTCTATCTTCGAAAACACCCGTGCTGTGCGCAGTTGGTCGATTAGTTCGTCGGCGCGGAAAATGGGGTACCGCGACTTGACTGTTACCCTGTTGAGCGCTCGGTAATCGATGCACATGCGAAACCCTCCGTCTTTTTTCAGTGTGAACAGTATCGGTGCGGCGAACGGTGACGAATAAACTGCTTTTCTAACAAATAATCTAACTGCTTCCTTAGTTCGTCGAGCTCGGGCTGTGTCAGTCTGAACTGGCGCTGTACAGTTGGCTGTGCCCCCGGTTCTAACTTGATCCTAAGATCATGCGCCCGCTGAGGTGGCAGCCCCTCCGGTAAGTCGTCTGGAAAAATCTCCGGGTACCATTTCAACAGTTCCTGTAGTTCGGGCGGTACTGCTGCCAACAGTTTCTGAAAATCGCTCAGTTGCTCCGTTTCTCTCACTAATGCTAAATCTACTGCGTACACGTCAGCTCCAGCGGCGACAACCCGTTTCATCGTGATGGCGTTGACGTTGACCGTTGAAGACTCGGGCGACTGCCAGCGAGGTAGCTGGACCCAGTTACCACTACTTCGCACGGTGCAGCTACCCGTCGTCCAGTCAATTCGCGGGTTATACCGTCGCACCCAATCACGTCCCAGTAAAATATCGTGCCCATCCAGTGTCGTTGCGAGCATTTCCTGTGTAAATCCGAAATTTCCCCCGCAGCGGACTTTGACTCGCTCTACCTTTTCGCGTATGGCTAGTGGCGTGCCGTCGACTAAGCGTGCGTCTATCTCCGGTAAGCAACGGCTAAGTGTCAGGTGTAGTTTTCGTGCGGTTGCGGTATTAACTAAACTGTGGCTTGCTCCTCCGTCGATAAAAACCTTCACTGCTGCTCCCTGTATTTTCCCGTGTATCAGTACTGGGCAATCCTTCGCTGTACCCTCCTTATTCATCCGAGCCCGATCGATGGCGTGAATCGGTACTGTGACTCGGTGAGGGTCGATGTGGTTGGGCGAGCAGGCAGTCTCGTCAGTAGTTGGCCAAACTTCTACTGACTGCTGGCGTTTCCTTGCCTCCGAGACTCCCCCCCCTGCTCTGCTCCGCGGCGCCTTAGCTCCTCTGGGCATTCGCTCTTGCGATGGCCCGGCCTGTTGCAAGCAAAGCAGCGCCCCTTAAACGGTGCGGCAGCTGCATTCGTTGCAACAGCGTTTAGAGTGGTGTGCTCGATCGGTCCCCGAGGACGATGTCCGTAGTACGACCCCGGTCTCGGTCGACGTAGAATGTCGATTTTCTCGGCGAGCGCGAGAATCTCGTTGAAGTTCGAGAGTCCGCGCAGCATGATTTTATGCGAGATATCCGGCTTCAGCCCTCCGACGTAACGGTCCACCCGCTCTGCTTCGTGCATGTAGCCGACCTGCTCGCAATGTGCGAGAAAACCGCTCGTGTAATCTTGAACCGACCCGAGCTGCCGCCAAGTGCGCAATCTCTGACGCGCTGAAATAGAAGCCGCGATCGGCTCGAAGCGCGCCCGAAGCCCTGCGCACCACGCATCCCACGTGCTGTATTGGGCGGTCTCGCAGAATGAACTCCAGGTGAGAGCTGGACCCGTGGGCCCTTCCTCTTGCGACGGTGGCTCATAGGCGCGTGGCGACGTCACGATGACTCGACGGTCTATGGCGGGGCCCCTTAACAGCAAAACGGCATACCGAATCTTCGCTTCGTCTGACTCGACGTAATTCGCGTCGAAGAAGACGTTCATCGTGAAAACCCACGATTGAACCGTCGGACCTCCACGTTGGCTTGGGTCGAAGCAGGGCGGGCGTTGCGGCTTGAGTGGCATGGGTGCCATAATGGCCTGTTCGCCACTTGTCGCCGCGAACTCCGCGTGCCGACGGGCTTCACGAGGCTCCCGCGGGCTTGGTGCGACCCTGTTTCCTCCCATGCCAGGCATCGGCTGGGCGGCGCCATCACTGGCTGCGCCTGACCGCTGTCCCACGCTGTCGTGTTGCGTTGGTGTGCCGGACGAAATGACGATCGGCTCGTCCGATTGTGCAGATGCATTTGTCGGTGCGTGTGATGGCGCTGGAATGTTCACCGTGGATTGCTAACGTGCGGAGTCACGTTCCGCCGTGAGTGTCGCAATTTCGAGCGCCGAATCTTCAAGTTGGCGCACTAGACGGTCGAGCTGCTCCTGCGTCAATGTGGCGAGCGTGAATTCGGCCATGGCGGGGGTGTCGGGCGAGCTCAGCGAGAGCCTCGGTCGTGGCCGTGCGTGCTTACGAGAGAGCACTACGAGCGGCGGTGCTGTGTCGCTGAGAGACGTCTACCCCCCCCAAAAAATTGAGATAGTGGGGAAGCGAAGGTGTGGGTGCTCTGAATACCAAGTGTTACGAGTGCAATTGAGTGAACGAACAAGAATTGCACTATCGAAGCAAGCGTACAATGGGCGAAGGCATGAGCGAAGAATATATAGCGAAACTACAGTGGTAACGGAAATGGACTGTGGTTGTCGCGCGACGGGCCTGATACTGAGGTTGGGAAAAGTGTCGAAGCGGAGGCCCGGAGCGCGGGTTACCCGTCGAGCCGTGAGGTCGGGGTGCGACGTGCGAAGGTGGCGGGCGGATTGTCGATGCGAGGATTGCGAGTGGTAACGGTGCTGACTATGGTGCTACACTGATGTATGCGTTGAGCAGGGACGCGAAGTAAGGAAAAAGAGATTTTCCTTACACTCAAACACGTTTCGCGCACATGTCGCCCGCCTACCTGGTGTTCTTGAAATGGGCACCGACTGTACACTCTCGAGCCATGTAAACAAGGTAAGGTCCTGTGAGTGTGCGCCTCACACCAAGCCAGCACCTCAACATGAGCGCTTAAGATCGGATTACCAAAATATTGCGAATGACCGGGAAATTGACACGAGCCATGAATGCACCATCAAGTCGTGGATGAACAATCCATTCTAGCGGAGGGAATGAAGAATTGTCTTCAGGAAAGAGCAGACTGGAGAATCCAGTAGTAAATGTTGTTGTAAATTGCACTTTTTCTATTGCATCTTGACTGCCATGGGCAGATTGAAGCAGCGTTCCTTCGAAACCGTGGAGTGGAGCGTTGTCAAATGCGGCGGGCAGCAACATTCTGCGTTGACCTACACCATGCGTAGTCACAGTGTACTGTACTTTACAGTATCTCAGGACCAACAAGCCGCTTGTCTGGCAGGTGGGCTGCATTGCATGTGATGATTTCAGTGCAGACATTGACAAAGCCCCTTGGTTCGCCACCATTGAACTTCGCTGTGGGGGAGCTGGTGGTGGCTGGCAGAATCTCTTTTTCAGGGTATGCTACTTTATTCATCCCGTCTCGGCTGTGTATTGCTTCCGGCTGCGGCTGAAATTTGGTGGATTTGTTTTCAGATAACCTTCAGTTTGGGGTTTTTGAAGGTAGTTCAGACCCTGGTGTGAAAGCGAGTTACTCTGTGTCTTCCCTTGATTTCCCACCCGCCGCCCGGCCCAACCTAATACACCCTTATTCTCAGTCTTCTCACCGACGGAAGCAGTGGCTACAGTGTTTGGACGTAGCGGGCTGGTGAGATAACTCGGTTGCGGGCCAAGTCGCACGAGGCGACGAAACCAGACTCGGGCCGTAAAATTCCGTTAACGCTGAATAACTGTCTTAACCGTTTAGAAAACAGCATTACCATTTTAGAACGTATAGAACCTTGACTAAACGCCCTGGGTCAAACTGTCAGTATAACGCATGTGATAGGACCTTCTTTGGTCCGCTGCGGCTACACTAAGCGTGATGGTCAGTATAACATATGCCAGCCTAACGAGAATGAGGGTGTATAGACCGAAGCTGATGGGAGAAGGCAGGCCGCGCGAGGGGTGGTGTGTGTGTGCAGGAGGGGCAATCGCACCGCACCAACACCCCCATGTTGCATTCGTGGTGCAGTAGGAACCCACACCACCCACTCGAAATCCACAAATTCCTCGCTAAGATCAGCTGCACTTGCCTAACTGAGCACCAACGTTACGGTCCAGAGCTAGAGGGTTTCCTGATATGAATGAAAAAAATATGGTTGGGACGAGAATGGGAAAAGTTAGAGTTTAGAATATAAGATATCTTGCCTAGTAAACAATGCATATTATTTACCATAATTCTCTGTTGTTTGCCCATCAATCTTCCACCACAGGCTACGTAAGGTAATGCCACTCTACGTCTTATCTAGGTCTAACTTAATTCGATCATGCTTCCTCATTCGTCAATCAGGGTGCCTCTACCATCGTTCCTGTTCCTCGCCGTTCGCCGACAGCTTCGGTCTCGAACGCCTTGTCCATGGCAGGCGTTTCTGCTGCCCCGACGGGTCCACACTCGCACCCAAGTATTTCCCTTTTTCCGCAACCCTTTTCCACGGTTCTAACTGGGGCCCCTCGCTCCCGTCTCACGCTGCCTCCTTCATCCAGCCGCAGTCAGCCCCGTCTATTCCGACGCCGCTCATTCCCAAACACCTCCGCCGTCACCTCCGCCCTCTGCGCTGCCGGTCCTCACAGCGGGGGCAGCGGGAGAGTCGCAGGGTATTATCGCCTGTCGCCGACGGCTGTGCGAGATCGCTTGACGACGTCGCGAGCGCTGACCGCGCCGTCGACGCCAGCGCGGTCCGAGTCCCCTCGCGCACCGCTGCATTTCTCGAACGCTCTGAGAAGAGACATAACTGGTTTCTCTCCGCGTCACGGTCTGCGATCGCCGCCTCCAACCGCGCTGCGCCGCTCCATGCAATGGCGGACTCATGCGGGCGGGAGAGAGAGCGCAGATGGCGGCATGCGGAGCGCGGGTAACGGCATGGGGGGGGGCGTTCAACGAGGGGAGGCGGGGGAGACGGCGGAAGGGAACGCGAGCTTCGTAGGCACAGCCCTGTCGCAAGTTGTGAAGCTTTTTCTTCTATCCCAGGTTCGCGCCTCTTTGCACGTATTCCTCTGCACCAATAGAGCGTCGTGCGGAGCTATGATCCGTTTCTGGGCACAATTTCTCAACTACTCATCCCACGCACATGGAAGCCAGTTCAATACTCTCATCTATTGTCCAGCTGTCAACAAGATCCCCCCATGCCACAGTCCACGTGGCATTCAACCCCATTCCCCTACCCATCCATCCATTTCCTTACCCTCATTCCAAGTCTGCAGCGTTTCACAGCTCGTCTCCTGTATTCTTCCCCCGACATGCGCCCGTCAACCCCCCTCACCCCCACCCCGTCCCCCCTCCCCCCCACCCCGTCCCCCCTTCCCCCCGCCCCTTTCCGTCCGATGCACCCATCTTTCAGCTGGAGTCATGCGAGGACCTGAGCGTGACTGTAGCGGGGTCCAATCGGGAGCTCCTTTCAGGGCGAATCGCTGCAGTCACGCTGTCTGCACGAGGGGCAGTGTACAAGGTGGGTGCGCTCGCCTATGTGCCACAGTGCCATCCTCCATTCTTTGACATTCCCTTTGCATCGCCGGCTCGTTGTTTGCGATCTTGTGGCCTTTTGCTGCTACCGGTCCTTCTTGACTTTCTGCCATCCGAAATCCTCCTCCTCGCACTACGTTAACGGAACTTCTGCCTGCTCTGTCTGCACAGCAGCAGCTAACTTGTGCTGGAGACCTTTGAGCAAGAGTATCCTGTGCACGTTCATTCATGATGGATGGAATCCTGATCCTTATCCTGATCCTGATCCTGACCATGGATTGCCTGTGTCATCCTTTGCCATAAACTTCTGATCACGTGGCTTGACTTGACAGGGCGTGAGGCTGACGTCAGCGCACGTGGCAGCAGCTAACATTGCAGTGGACGCCAGGGGCCAAGCACAGTCAGGCAGGTATGCTGGCATTGATGGATGGGGGTCAGCAGCTGACTCACATCAAGCAACCGGGAATCTCATGTCTTTCTGTGTTGACCTGCTTGTGTACATTGAGTCTCTGGAGTTAAGACTGTGGAATAAGCAGGCTTTTCTAGTTTTTTCCTGTGATAGACTCACCACCAATCTTTGTCTGTGCCTTGTGTGTGCAGTTTCTTATGCCACAAGTTCCCAGTGCATGTCAAGGCACATGTGTCCGAACGTGACTTCAATGAAAGGTAAGTACTCACGCTGCGTTTTGCTTGTCGATTAAAGTAAAACACTAACAAGGAATATGTGCTGTTTGTTTACTGCCCTCTCTGTTCCTTTTTTGCCCTGTCCTTGCAGCCTTCAAAATCCAGCATTCCATGAACCATTTAGCAATTTGCTCTCTCTCAGTTTGCCACTGGAGCCTTCGTCGCTTAGTGTAAGGTTCAGTGACGGTTCACTGCACCTCAACTCTCCAAATGCTCCCTCTCTTCGCCTCACACCGAAGCTCTGCCCTCGTGGTAGGAGTCTTGAGTTTGATCGCAGAACTGATGGTAGATCAGTTCAATCAAGAGCACCAATGGTGGACTTGGGGCCAGAAACTAGGATCTCGTTGCTGGAAGTTCAGCAGGGTTTTTTAAGCCTCCGTGGAACATTCATGGTTATTCCATGACCTTGGAATTCTGATGTCATGAAATCCTTTACTGTATATTGTTTATAGGTGCTCGCCTCAACGAGCGAAGAATTCCTTGTTCCGGAGTTACAGATGTCAACAATAACGAGGAGTCGTGACTTCACACAGGTGCACGTCGTCACTCGGACGAACCGAGGTCGCAGAAACGGGCAGTATGCGCGGGAAAGTGCGGCACACCATCAACCAAACCTAAACTCAAATTCAAATATTTCCCTCCCGTTAGACCGCGATTCGCCGCACGCAATTTGTGGTGGGTGGTGCCGTGGACTTGATGCATTCCCCACGGCTTTTCGAGTCGCGTCAACCCAGTTTCGCAAAACACCTAATTGTAACCCTGGTTTTGTCGTAATCCTTCGGCTGCCCTGGAAACCGTACGATCGAAGTGTTTCGTCCACACGTCGCTGAAGTCGCCTGAGCCTTCCCAATGACTGCACACGTGCTTGCAGTCCAATCCAAGCCAAGCCTGCAAGAGAAAAATTATCAGAGCGAGAGGCCAAAGATTGCCCATGGGCGAGAAGCCTAGAACGCTATTTCCTTTCCAGAGGTCAAGGAGACACACTCGCAGCAGTGTGCCTCTCAACTGTGGCTCTTTCGCGCTTGCCGACCTTTCCGCTCTTTGTGTGCCAGACTGGCAAGCAGCCCCAGCTGTACTGATTTACATTTTAGTGTCACAGTCTTCCAGAACTTAATCACACGGATAGTGTACATGGTATTTTCGGACTATCAAGCATGAGCGTCTATTTGACTTAGCTTAGAACCACAATGAGAGTCCTCGGTCTGCAAAGGAGGGAGAGCTCAGAGTACCTTTTAGTACAACTTACCAGCTTAACTACCAGACCTAGGCGCCCCGAAGCGCGAACTAGTCACTCGTCTTCGCACAACCCAATCGCGACGTTTCGACAAAGCCTGGTTGCCTTCGTGGTTGTGTGCTTGCTGACGTGGAACCTGCGGCCCGCCACGTGTTTCAGCGAGTTTGGGCTGCTCGATTCCGAGTCAACGCCTTCATCTGCAGTCAACCAAGTCAACTCTTACCAAAACGGTAACCGGGCCAACGCTTACCTCGACGAATATTCCACAGACGATAGCACCAACGAGCTGCCTGGTAGTAGCATCAGCACCAGGGCGGTCAAAGTCGCTGCCACCCCGTCGGCGACAGGTGACAGTCGCACAACGTCGCATGGCTTGTCGCAGGACGGCGTGCCTGTTCGTGAGGGGTCGCCGTTCAAGCTGCGACCAGACCTCGCGGTAGAAAACGGCAGCGACGAATACGGCGACGGAGAGAACCAGCAGGAGGAAGACGGGACCGCGGGTAGCGGCGGCGATAGTGGCGCGGATGGCGGCGGGGATGACGGCGGGGATGACGGCGGGGATGGCGGAGAGGGAGGCGCAGACAAGGCTTCAAGCCCTGCCGGGGATCACGGCGGGGATGGCGGAACAGGTGATTACGGAGACCTGGACGTCGGTGGTGATAGCAGTGGTGACGCAGCCACCGCAAAAGGCGGCGATTCTGGTAGCGATGGCAGCACTGGGGGCGACGGTGGAGGAGGGGAAGTGGGGGGAAAACAGGCGGAGTCTCCCCCGAGCCTTTCTCCGCCAACGTCGGCCCCCCCCTCACTTTCCGCCAAACCGCTCCCATTGCTACCGTTACCTTCGCGCTCTCCCCCCGCTAATGCGCCCCCCTCCAAGTCGTTCTCTCTTCCGCCAAAGCTAGCTTCCCCTCCGCCTAACTCGCCTCCGCCTCCGCCGAAGTCTCCGCCCCCTTCCCCGCCGCCGAAGTCGCCCCCCTCTTCCCCTCCGCCGAAATCGCCCGCCTCTTCCCCTCCGCCGAAGTCTCCTCCCCCTTCCGCTCCACGGACCGCCTCACCGTCCGCTGCTACCGTGCTGTCATGGGGGGGGTTTAAGGTGCGCGCCGGTTCTAATACCACCGGAAGTAGCGGCGATGCCAGCACTAATACCAGTGGCAGCAACAGCTCCGCGAGTAAGAGCAGCAGTAGCGGTAGCGGAAGCGGAAGCGGAAGCAGCAGCAGCAGCAGCGGCGGCGGCAGGGGCAGCGGCAGCGGCGGTGGCAGCGGCAGCAGCAGCAGCAACAGCAGCAGCAGCAACAGCGGCAGCGGGGGCAGCGGGGGCGGATCAAGCCGTAGCACACCAACATCGCTGCGCTCATCCGAGTCGGGCTTTAAGGACCGGAACGGCAGTAATACTACTAATAGTAGCTCCAGCAACTCTGGTAGCGGCACTAAGAATACTACCATCAGCGGCAGTGACGGCGGTCAGACCGCCAAGTCGCGATCCCCGCCGCCTTCCCCGCCCCTGACTTCCATGACGCGCCGCCCTCCGCCTAGCGGAAGCGGTGGGAGCAGTAACGGGAGCGGAAGCAGCGGCGCGAACAGCAGCAGCGGCGGTGCGAACAGCGGCGGCGGCGGCGCGAAGAGCGGTGGTAGTGGAAGTGGCACGGGCGCTAGTGGGAGCGGTGGGAGTGGAAGCTCGAAAAGCACTCCCCCTTCTTCACCTGCTGCTGGCAATGTTTTCAAATGGAAAGCTGGTAGCAACACCAGTGGCAGCAACAGTAGCGGTAGCGGTAACGGTGGTAACGGCGACGGTAACAGTACTGGTAGTGGGAGAAGCGATAGCAACTCGATAGCTCCTGTTGCCAAGCGACCTATAAGTCCGCGGTTGAATGGCAGTAGCACTGGCAGCAGTAACAGCAGCAGCTGCAGCAGCAGCAGCAGCAGCAGCAGCGGCGGCGGCGGCGGCAGTGGTAGTGGCGGCTGTAACTCTTCTGGTACTCGAGCGATGACGCATCGAAACAACACCAGCAGTAGCAACGGCGGCAGTGCCAGCAGCAGCAGCAACAGCAGCAGTAATAGCACTGGTAGCGGCAGCAGCAGCGGTAGCAATACCACCAGTAACAGCAGCCGCGGAAGCAGCAGCAGTAATAATGCCACCAGTAATACCAGTAACAGCAGCAGCAACAGCAGCGGCAGCAGTGGTAGTGGAGGCAGTAATTCTTCTGGAGCCCGAGCGATGACACGACGAAACAACACCAGCAGCAGCAACAGCAGCAGTAATGGCACCAGTAGCGGAACCAGCAGCAGTGGTAGTGCAACCAGCAATAGCAGCAGCACCACCAGCAGTAATACCACCAGTAATAACAGCAACAGCAGCAGCAGCAGTAGCAGCAGCACTACAAGTTCCACTATCAAGGGCACAGGCTTCAAAGTCAACCTGAAGAACAGCGGTAGCAGCAGCAATGGCGGCAGCAGCAACAGCAGCGGCTCCTCCCACCCAACCACCAGCTTCACTCAAGGCCTTTCCACCACGCATGGCAGCAGCAGAGGTGGAGAGCGGTGGGAGAGCGGGAGTGATTCTAGCGTGGGGAACGGAGGAGAGGGCGGGTCGACGTTTAGGAGGAGGCAAAGCGTACCGACGGCCAATGCTGGGACGTACAGCGTCAAGCTTGGTACTGCTGCTGGTCCTGACAGCAGCAGCAGCGCCAGCAACAGCACTGGCAGCAGTGGCAGCAGCGTTTGGAGGGGCGGGAACGGCGTCGCTATTGCTGCTGCTGTTGATGATACTGGTGATGGTGGTAGTGCTAATGGTGCTGATGGTGGTGTTGAAGATGGGGCGACTGGTGGTGCTGACTCTGGCTCGGACGAAGCAGGGGATGTGGGCGGATATGACATCGATGGTGATTATAGTGATTTGGTCAGCGATGGGACCAGTGACGCAGCCACTAATGGGGGCGATGAGTCAGGCAGGGAAGGGGGCAATGAGGGGGGAAGGGAAGGGGGCAATGAGGGGGGCAGTAACGGTGGTGACAGCGTGAATGCTGCAAGTCCAGTGGTGAAAAGTCCAGTGTCTTCCCCACCCAATCTCTGGTGGCAGTCGTTGCTCGACGCCGGGGGGAGTTATGGGGGGAAAGTGCTGGAGGGGTATTCTGACGGGGGAGCGGAAGGGGGCAAGGACGGCGGAGGAGATGGGGCGGGAGAGGGGGATGATGGGAGTAAGGGGAGTAAGCTGGGTGTGCAAGAGGCGTCGGTTGACTATAGCAAAAGTGATGCTCAGAGGTTTGATGCTGGTGCTGGTGGTGGTGGTGGTGATGGTGATGCTGATGCTGATGCTGATTCTGATGGTGATGCAAGTGACCATGGCGGATCTGACTGGAGCAGCTCTGAAGATGGAGGGGTGGATGTGACTGGGGGTAGTGTTGCTGGTGGTGATGGGAGTGATGATGATGGTAGTGATGATGGTAACGATGATGGTAGTGATGACGGTAACGATGATGGTAACGATGATGGTAACGATGATGGTAGCGATGATGGTAGCAATGATGGTAATGATGATGGTAACGATGATGGTAACGATGATGGTAGCGATGATGGTAGCGATGATGGTAACGATGAAAGCTACAGCAATGATGATGGTACTGAAGACAATGCCAGTGATGATGATTGTTATATGGGGTTCAATCTGGACGGAGACGATTCCCAACCTCTAGATGGTACCGGCTCTGATACCATTGCTGCTGGCGCAGGGGCAGACAATGATTCTGACAGTGCTGCTAGCAGCGTTACAGGCAGCAGCAGCGAGTATGGAGCTCTTGAGAAGTCTCAAAATCGGCCTGACGGCAAGGGTGGTGACACCCATGGTGGCGGCAGCAGCAGCGGCAGCGGCAGCGGCAGCAGCAGCAGCAGCGGCAGCGGCAGCGGCAGCAGCAGCGGCGGCGGCGGCGGCGGCGACGACAGTGAGGATTACACGGGCGAGGCTGGAGATTACAGCGAAAGTGAAGGGGAACGCGACGATGGCAGCATCAACGCCATTGACTACCTGCAAACCAGCAGCAGCTATGACGACTCTTCTGACTCTTCTGACGATTCTGACGATTCTGACTACTACAACCACGCCTCTGGAGATGCTGCAGGTGCTGGAGATGCTGCTTCTAACCACCACAGCAGCAGCCACTCCCTCGTCCCACTCTCCACGGAATCGTTGGGTCTTCGAGCCACCTTCACGCCTCAGCCCAGCAGCAGCAGCAGCAGCAGCAGCAGCAGCAACAGCAGGCATGGCCCCTCCTCCTCTCCTTCCTCCTCCTCATCCCCCCCTCCCAGAACCAGCAGCAACAGCCGCATGAAGTCTGGCCGAGGGTCACCTTCCCCTTCGTCTCGGTCCTCCTCCCCTTCTCTCCCCTCCCACATGTGGCCCTCCACCTCTCCCTCCTCCCCTTCCTCCCCCTCTTCTCCTTCCCCTGCCACTGACCGTCAGTCGGGGTTCAAGGGAAGACAGGGCAGCAGCAGCAGCAGCGGTGGTGGGAGCAATAGCAATTCCGATTATCACTCCCAGTTGAAGCACACTCCGTCTAGAATCTCAGTCCCCGCTCCTACCGCCCCTGCAACCCCTGGTTTCCACAACAAAGCACCTAAGCCCCCTGTGACGGGGGACAGGGGGAAGAGCAGCAGCAGCAGCGGGAGTGGTGGAGGGAGAGGAGTGGGCGGCGGTGGGGGGTCGGGAGGGAGTGGAGGTGGAGGGGGTGGAGGTTGGGGGGAGGCTTCAGGCGGAGAGAGTGTGGCTCAGCTGTACCTGCTGCCTCGAAACGAGTCACGGGCGAGATGTTTGGACGGCAGGTGAGGAAGGGAGATATGTGGAAGGCAGGTGAGGAAGGGAGATATGTGGAAGGCAGGTGAGGAAGGGAGATATGTGGAAGGCAGGTGAGGAAGGGAGATATGTGGAAGGCAGGTGAGGAAAGGAGATATGTGGAAGGCAGGTGAAGAAAGGAGATATGTGGAAGGCAGGTGAGGAAAGGAGATATGTGGAAGGCAGGTGAGGAAAGGAGATATGTGGAAGGCAGGTGAGGAAAGGAGATATGTGGAAGGCAGGTGAGGAAAGGAGATATGTGGAAGGCAGGTGAGGAAAGGAGATATGTGGAAGGCAGGTGAGGAAAGGGGATATGTGGAAGGCAGGTGAGGAAAGGAGATATGTGGAAGGCAGGTGAGGAAAGGAGATATGTGGAAGGCAGGTGAGGAAAGGAGATATGTGGAAGGCAGGTGAGGAAAGGAGATATGTGGAAGGCAGGTGAGGAAAGGAGATATGTGGAAGGCAGGTGAGGAAAGGAGATATGTGGAAGGCAGGTGAGGAAAGGAGATATGTGGAAGGCAGGTGAGGAAAGGAGATATGTGGAAGGCAGGTGAGGAAAGGAGATATGTGGAAGGCAGGTGAGGAAAGGAGATATGTGGAAGGCAGGTGAGGAAAGGAGATATGTGGAAGGCAGGTGAGGAAAGGAGATATGTGGAAGGCAGGTGAGGAAAGGAGATATGTGGAAGGCAGGTGAGGAAAGGAGATATGTGGAAGGCAGGTGAGGAAAGGAGATATGTGGAAGGCAGGTGAGGAAAGGAGATATGTGGAAGGCAGGTGAGGAAAGGAGATATGTGGAAGGCAGGTGAGGAAAGGAGATATGTGGAAGGCAGGTGAGGAAAGGAGATATGTGGAAGGCAGGTGAGGAAAGGAGATATGTGGAAGGCAGGTGAGGAAAGGAGATATGTGGAAGGCAGGTGAGGAAAGGAGATATGTGGAAGGCAGGTGAGGAAAGGAGATATGTGGAAGGCAGGTGAGGAAAGGAGATATGTGGAAGGCAGGTGAGGAAAGGAGATATGTGGAAGGCAGATGAGGAAAGGAGATATGTGGAAGGCAGGTGAGGAAAGGAGATATGTGGAAGGCAGGTGAGGAAAGGAGATATGTGGAAGGCAGGTGAGGAAAGGAGATATGTGGAAGGCAGGTGAGGAAAGGAGATATGTGGAAGGCAGGTGAGGAAAGGAGATATGTGGAAGGCAGGTGAGCAAGGCGAGATGCCTGGACGGCAGTTGAAAATTTGAGGCGGGTCTGAATTTGAGGCGGGTCTGAATTTGAGGCAGGTCTGAATTTGAGGCGCCTCAAAATCCGGTTGGGGGGAGGCTTCAGGCGGAGAGAGTGTGGCTCAGCTGTACCTGCTGCCTCGGAACAAGTCTAGAGCGAGATGTTTGGACGGCAGGTGAGGAAGGGGAAAGGGGAAAGCGAGACAGGGAGAGAGGCAGGTGAGGATCAAGGCTGGAAGAGGGTGACAGGGAGGGGGAGGGGGAGAATCAGAGGGGGTTGGAGAGTTTTGAAATGGAAGCTGTGGTGCCGCGCTGTCCTTTCTGCTTCTCTCCACATTCTCAGTCACGCTTGGTCTCTCTAATTTTGAGGCGCCTCAAAACTTAGTCACGCTTGGTCTCTCTAAGAATCCTCTTTGTTGCTCCCTGTGGCTTTCTCGCTTTGTTACATTGCATCTTCTCCTCTCCGCTCCCCTCTCACTGTCTCAACCCGCGTGTCTCACGGCAGTGCTGCAGGCTACTACCTCCGCAGAGGATACGGATCAGGAGCCAAGAAATGGATTCTCTTCCTAGAGGTGCGCCCATCTGCCTTCACCTGATTCTCGAGACGTCTCGATAAGCCTATCCGCCTTGAGCTGTGCGCAAGGGTGTGCTATACGCTCTTTTCCATGACTCCCATGTGTGAAATGCCGTTTTGAGGCGCTCCCTGTCTGACTGGCTTGCCATCTGTCTGACTGGCTTGCCATCTGTCTGACTGGCTTGCCATCTGTCTGACTGGCTTGCCATCTGTCTGACTGGCTTGCCATCTGTCTGCTTTTGAGTCGACTCAAAAGCTCCCTGACTGACCACCTTGCCATCTGTCTGTCTCTCGCACGCGCAACTCCCCTCCCCGCACCTCCCCTCCCCGCACCTTCCCTCCCCGCACGTTCCCTCCCTGCACCTCCCCTCCCCGCACCTTCCCTCTCCGCACCTCCCCTCCCCGCACCTCCCCTCCCCGCACCTTCCCTCCCCGCACCTCCCCTCCCCGCACCTCCCCTCCCCGCGCCTGCCCTTCCCGTGCCTGCCCTCCCCGCGCCTCCCTCCATCCGCACGGCATCCCATTCGTGGTTCACACGGAGAGCAGGGCGGGGGGTGGTGTTTCAACCCCAAGCAGTGCACCGCACGGGCCAAGGGACCTCTGGGGAGCTCCAGGCAATGGGCGTCAACTAATGTGAGCCTCGCCGCACCCCTGCCCTGCCCTTTCAGTCGACCCAAAATTAGTCTCAGAATTAGTCTCAGAATTAGTCTCAAAAATCGACTCAAAAGACGCACGGGCCAAGGGACCTCTGGGGAGCTCCAGGCAGGCAATGGGCCTCAACGAATGTGAGCCTCGCCGCACCCGCGCGCGTGCCTTTTGAGTCGACTAATGTGAGTGAGACTCAACAGTTGCCTCGCACCCATGCTGGCAATGGCGTTGTCCTCTGGCAATGGCGTTGTCCTCTGGCAATGGCGTTGTCCTCTGGCAATGGCAGTAATTCATGAATTATTCATTCAGTTGACTCAAAAGCAGTCCTTTCCACACATAGTCGTTTCAGCCCGCCCTCGGTCTTTAACAATGTGAGCCCTGGAAACACACTGTCTTCACACAGTCTCCTGCGCAATCCAGCCCTCAAGAACCAGCCCTCAGAACCAGCCCTTGCGTTTCTCGTCCCCCAACAACAAGCACCCAATCCCAATCACTACCCCCCCCCCCTCCCTCCTCCTTCCCAACCGCCAAACCTTTCATCACCACGCCCACTTCCCCTTCCCCAGGCGCTCAACTTTGGAGGGGTAGCGAGCACCGAGAGCCGGGTGAACCCGGTGTTCTACAACTGGAACTTCGTTCTCCTCAAGTACTGCGACGGCGCCTCCTTTGCCGGCTCTCTCCGCCTTTCCGTTTCACCCCGTGCTGCCTCCTCTCTCCCTCCACACAATCCAGCCTCGGGAATCAACCCTTGCGTTTCTCCTCTCACCAGCAACTAACACCCCACCCCAACCCCCCAACCCGTATAACCTCACCGCCCCCGCCACCCCCAACCCTCTCCCCCTTCCCCAGGCGCTCAACTTTGGAGGGGTAGCGAGCACAGAGAGCAGAGTGAACCCGGTGTTCTACAACTGGAACTTCGTTCTCCTCAAGTACTGCGACGGCGCCTCCTTTGCCGGCTCTGCCTTCGGCCGCCCCGCCAAGGCACACGCTCCCAGCAACCGGGGGAGCAGCCGTGCTGCTGCTGCTGCTGCGGTGGGAGGGGCAGAGGCGGCGGAGGCAGGAGGCTCGGGTGATCCGCAGACGCTGTTTTACATGGGGCACTGGAACCTGCAGGCTGCTATGCAAGGTGAGGGCTGAGGGGCGGAGGGGCGGAGGGGTAACACTGAAGGAACCACCCAAGTGTTACTCTCACGCTGTTTTACATGGGGCAGTGGAACCTGCAGGCTGCTACGCAAGGAGAGAGAGAGAGAAGGGGGGAGGAGGACGGCTGAAAGAACCGCCTGTTTCACTCTCCTGCTCTTCTCTTCTCTACATGGGGCACTGGAACCTGCAAGCTGCTATGCAAGGTGAGAGGCGAGGAGAGTGTTGAAGGAAAGGTTTGAGCCGTCTCAGAACCTGCCCACACACCTACCTCCTCGTGACCCACCCCCACTCACCCATCCTCACCCAGTCACCCCCACCCCCAACCACTCACTCCCTCTCCCCGCGCAGACCTGCTGGTGCGGGGGGAGATGGCGCAGGGAACAGACGCGCACCAGTGTATAGTCCAGTGAGTGGGTGCAGTACAGTGCATGGCTCCAGGGCGGTGGCGGTGGCGGTGGCGGTGGCGGTGGCGGTGGCGGTGGCAGTGGTGGTGTCTATGGCCTGCGACCCCATCACTGCATGGCATGGCAGCATGGCTCTCTAGCAGCCGCTCTTGAGAATTCATTCCCAAGAGTTGCCGCAGCGCTCTCTCCTTCCCGCTTCCTCACCCTCTTTACTCAACCACACTCCCTCGCACTCCCACACCCTTCCTCGCACTCCCACCACTCCCCCACCCGTGCAGACCTGCTGGCACGGAGGGGCATGAATCAGGGGACAGACGCGCTGGTGGGCGGGTGCAGTGCGGGGGCGGTGGCGGTGTCTATGGTGTGCGACCCCATTGCTGCGTGGCTCATTCCGGAACCCCACTCCTTCTAACCCACCCCACCCCCTCCCACTCCCAATCAGACCTGCTGGTGCGGCGGGGCATGAGTCAGGGGACAGACGCGCTGGTGGGCGGGTGCAGTGCGGGGGCGGTGGCGGTGTCTATGGTCTGCGACCCCATTGCTGCGTGGCTCGCCCGCTACCGCATCCGCACCAAGTGCTTCATGGACGCAGGGGTCTTCCCAGGTGTGTGCGCGAGTGACATTTGAGAGTTCTCTTCTGTCTGTGCGAGCCGTGTGGTGCATCCGCATCCGCATCCGCATCCGCACCAAGTGCTTCATGGACGCAGGGGTCTTCCCAGGTGTGTGCGCGAGTGACATTTGAGAGTTCTCTTCTGTCTGTGCGAGCCGTGTGGTGCATCCGCATCCGCATCCGCATCCGCACCAAGTGCTTCATGGACGCAGGGGTCTTCCCAGGTGCGCGCATTGTTCTTACCAGGTGTCTGTGGGGTGTGTGCAGGAGGTGTGTACGGGAGGTGTGTGCAGGAGGTGTGTACGGGAGGTGTGTGCAGGAGGTGTGTACGGGAGGTGTGTGCAGGAGGTGTGTACGGGAGGTGTGTGCAGGAGGTGTGTACGGGAGGTGTGTGCAGGAGGTGTGTACGGGAGGTGTGTGCAGGAGGTGTGTACGGGAGGTGTGTGCAGGAGGTGTGTACGGGAGGTGTGTGCAGGAGGTGTGTACGGGAGGTGTGTGCAGGAGGTGTGTACGGGAGGTGTGTGCAGGAGGTGTGTACGGGAGGTGTGTGCAGGAGGTGTGTACGGGAGGTGTGTGCAGGAGGTGTGTACGGGAGGTGTGTGCAGGAGGCATAGATTCTGTTCCTCCTCTGGATTCTATGGATGAGAAATCCAGTGCCACACACACACACACAGGCACAGGCACAGGCACAGAGAGGGCTCATCTGCTCACCTCAGTGTCTGCCTCCGCTTCCACACCAAGTCCCAACTGGTCTTGTGACATAATTCCTCAGCGAGCAGCAAACTTAGTCAGGCCTCAGTGCCTGCCTCCGCTTCCACACTAAAAGTCCCACTCCCCCCCTCCTCGCCAGACGTGGTGGACTATTACCCCCAGAGCTCGCTGCAACACAAGGTGCAGCGCACACCAAGTCCCACTCCCTTTTTCCTCTTCCCCCTCCCCTACACCTCCACTCCCCCTCCTCCCCACCCCCTACGCCTCGCCAGACGTGGTGGACTACTACGGGCAGCGCTCGCTGCGGCGCAAGGTGCAGCGCATGGCGGCCGCTCAGAACATCAACCGCGCCGGCATCAGCTACTCGTGCAAGCAATGTAAGCTGCGACTAACCAATGCTGAGAGCAGCCCGGAGTAACCCGTATCAACCCAGAACACACCTTCCTGTAGGCGGTCTCCATGGTTTCTGCCTTCTCCCATCCCACTAGCTGCTCTCTTGCCACATTGGTCATCCTCTGGATCGGCTACTCCGCTTTGAGTTTGGAGCTGCTCTCTTGCCACAACAGTCATCCTCGCGCCCTAAAACTCCAGCCATTCTCCTCCTCAACTAGGCCTCTTCCCCTTCTTTTCCCCCTCCTCCCCCCTCCTCCCCCCTCCTCTCCCCTCCTCCCCCCCCCCCCCCCTATCAGCACTGAGCAGCAGCAATGAGGCGTGGAAGTGTTTCTTCCCGGAGTACAATCTCAACTTCGTGCGCACGCCCATGTTCCTCGTCAACTCTCTCCTCGACTACAAGGCCGTCGCCCTCGCCCTTGCTCTCAATCTCTGCAGCAAAACCCGCTCCAAACCCTTCCTTCTCCGTCCGTCCACCTCTTCCCCCTCCCCCCCTTCCCCTTTGTTCCCCTTCCCCCTTCCTTCCCATTTCTTTCTCCCCCCGCCCCCCCTTCTCTGACAGCCCTGAGCAGCAGCAAGGAGGCGTGGAAGTGTTTCTTCCCGGAGTACAATCTCAACTTCGTGCGCACGCCCATGTTCCTCGTCAATTCTCTCCTCGACTACAAGGCCGTCGCCATCGCCCTCGCGCCGCGCAGCAAGACCCACTCCAACCCGCTCCTCCGCTGCATGCGCTCTCCGCGCTTCTCCTCCTGCTCCGCTCTGCAGCTCCGCCTGCTCCGCGACTTCTCCCACCGCGTCAACAGCACGATATACGGCATCGTGCGCGCGAGGGCCGCGGCGCGGGTCCCGTTCCGCGCGTTCACGTTCAGCGCATCGACGCATTGCGTGATAGGAAGCTCATATTGGACCAGTTTGCGTATGGGTATGCGGGAAGCAGACGGAGGCGGGGGTGGGGGAGCGAGTGCGCTGGGTGTGAGTGTGCGGGATGTGAAGGATATAGTGGGGGGAGGTGGTGTTAGTGATGTGTTGAACAGCAGCGGGTTTGAAGGCGGAATTGGTGGTGGATTTGGGGGCGGAAGCAGGGAGGCCACTTTGGAAGGGAGGTTCACAGAATGGTACTTTTCGTGATTATTTCAGTCATGAAGAAACACCGGAGAGTTGGATATGGGAGAGGTGAAAGGGACAGGGGGGGAAGGGAGAGTGGAAAGAGGAAGAGGGGGAGGGTGTGGTGGAGGGGAGGGAGGAGAGATACCAGCGGCTGCAACAAGCCATGCTTGTGCTCTCAAGGCAGAGCTTGCCCCTCCCCGTTGCAATCATTGACCAGCGTGTGGGATGATGAGACAAGCAAGTGAAGCAGATCCAAGGCAAGCAGAGGAACCAGCTGCCTATGAGGCTGGAAATACCTCCATACACACCATACACACCATACACACCATACATGCACACGAGGCCATGGAAGCTTTTCCATCATGCTGAGAGCGCTTCTTGCGGGCCAGACATCACAAGAGGTGCTCTCATAATGAGGGCAAGCAGGCAGAAGAAGCCAAGTGTAGGGTACTTGGTATTTGTGGAACAAGCCAGGCACATCAAACCTCCTGTCACCTCCTCCTCCCCACCAACTGCCCCACTTCACCCCACACACGAAGGCCTACTGGCTGGGTGCGTGACAGCAGCTTGATGCAGCCTGTACAGATAAAGGCCTGTCCTGGTGCCTCAAAAAGTTGCTGCAGCCTGTTCAATGGAAGCCACTCTTCTGAGGCGCTGTGGACCGTACAGCTTGTTCAGCTGTGTCCTTAGCAGCAGCAGCAGCAGCAGCAGCAGCAGCAGCAGTGCCAGGACTACTAGTCCTCCAGTACCTATCTGTCTTGCCTGCATACTTGCTCAGAACTACTAACCACTAACTTGCGTTATTTAGGTTATGATACGTCCATCATACCATGCCTTGCATGTGTACAACATAAGTAATTGCATATAATTTTGGAGTACCATAAGCGGAGCATTGCACGAATTCAGTGTGGTTTATAACCATCATGTGTCATCATTGTCACATATATCCTTTTTGCATTATCTTTATCAAAATGCACATTTCAAAGCAGAATCTGTAGGTGGTAGGTATTACCAAGTGGTTTCACACACCTCATCCGCTTCACACAGATACACAAATGCATGCTGAAGCTTTAAGAGCACACACACACACACACACACACACACACACACACACACACACACACACACACACACACACACACACACACACACACACATGTAAGGCCCCAGGTATGCACACGAGCCAAGTACGGTAAGATTCCTATCTAATAATAAGAACGGCTGATTATACACCTAACAAAACTACAGCAGCTCCTGCTGTTTGAGTCTACTGAAGGTTCTTGAGGAACCTTGTGAAGAGCAGCTGCATGGCTCAAATTCGAGTTGGTACAGGTTGGTACAAAATACCTCGGGAGACTAAGGCAACGTACTAGTCTCTACAGGGGAAAGAGCAGCAGCGGCGAAACCAGCAGCAGAGGGGGCCGCAGCTGCAGCTGGAAAGGCAGCAGCAGTGGAGATGCTAGCGATGGCGGCAGCAGCAGCAGCAGCTGCAGCAGAAGCGGAAGCAGCAGGAGATCTCCACACCTCCTCGTGCTTACCCAGCCCCCACCACACCCCCCCACTCCATATCATGCTCCCAACCGTATGCGAAAGCACAGCAGCCAGTGCAGCCGCCACTTGATCCCCTGCCATCCTGCTATTGCTGCCGCTGCCGCTGCTGAAAAGAGCAGCAGGATCAAAGCATGAGCTGCAAGGTAGGTCCAGATACTCTTGCCCGAGCAGCGAGGGGGGTAGCTGGACGCTACTGGCCTTTGCTGCATGAGAAGGAAGGGACGCAGTCTCAGGAGGCGGCAATGTGTCCCTTGCCTGGTCATGGCACATGATACGAGTGCCCTGCCCCTCGGTCTCTACCCGATTACCACTGCTACCACCATCACTACGCCTACCGCTGTTACCAGCGTCACTGTCTTTTTCTGGGGAAGCACGTGCACTGCATATGGCAGCATCACGCTCCCGTTCGTCACCTGCTTTCATATCCCTTTCACATTTGCGCTGCTCCTGCGGCTCCTGCTTTTCCTCCTCCACCTCCCTCTCATCCTCCTTCTCGACCTGCTGCTGCTCGCGCTGCTGCTGCTGCTGATGGTGCTGCTTCTCCTGCCGAACTACTGGTATTGGGGGGCGGGAATGGAGCATCCATGGAGGGAGAGACGAGGGCAGCAAGCTAGCAGCAGGGAAGGGGGAACCACCAACCCCAGCCAGCTCAGCAGCTTCAGCAGCCGCAGCACGTCCAGAACCTTCACCAACCGGACCTGCTGGTGCCATAGCAGCAGCACCACCACCACTGCTACTGCCTCCCCCACTCCATCTGTTTTCCCCTGCGCCCGTACCCTTGCCTCCTGCCTTGCCTCTTGCCTTGCCACCACCCACACTCATCCCATTCCCACGGCACAGCCTCAGTGGTGCAAAAGTGCCTGCTGCAGAGTTTGTAGCACCTGCTGCTGCGAAACCGCCCGCTGCAGCCTCAGCAACCCCTGGGCCCTTCGCGCCCTCTGCTAACTCTGCCCGCCCTGTCTGCTCTGCACACTCCGCCTGCTTCTCCCGCTCTCCACCCTCCCCACCCTCTGCTGCACCCTCCTCGCCCTCTGCACCTCGCCCGGAAGCTGTCTGCTCTCTGCCTGAAATATCAACTGCTTCAGAGGCACCTCCTAGTGCTGCCGCTTCACCCGCCCCCTCCTTGCCTGCACAGTGCTTGGGTGCAGCAGGGGCAATGGGCACATGGTGCAATCGTCGGTTCGTCTGCTGCTGCTGCTGTGGCTGCTGCTGCTGTGCCTGGAAGGGAGGTTGCGGGAAAGGCGGCATGGCTGCTATGCTCGTTGGCAGTGGTCCACTCGTGCCTGTTTGCGCCTGCTGCTGCTGCTGCTGCTGGTGCTGGTGCTGCCACACTGCTTGTTGACTGGGGATGGCAGAAGCGGGCAGGGCGGAAGCGGGGACGGCGGAGGATTGCACAGCGCAGCGAAACGCTGCTGCTGCAGCAGCAGACGGGAAGGGCGGGATGGCAGGAATGTGCATGAACCCGGGGAGGGCGCTGGGGTGCTGCATGCGCGGAGGAGCAGCAGAGTACATACCCACGCTGCCACCGCTGCTACCGCTGCTACCATTGCCACTGAGCGGATAAAGAAACGGCGTCTGCTCGCGCATACCCGCCGCGCCCATCTCTAGATCTGGCGCGTGCGCCACAGGCGGAAGCGAGGGGAGAGCGGGGCCGAGAGGGGACGAGAGAGGGGCGTAGAAGGGAGTGTGTGGTGGGGGGGGAAGCCAAGGGAGAGAGGGGAGATGAGCCGGGGGGAAGCAGTGCTGGGGGTTGTGGGCGTGTGACAACAGCGACGGATCATGCGGCGGCGGCAGAACGGAATGCGCGTATGGCGGAAGGAAGGCCTCGTGGAACGATGCAGGTGCGCCTATACCTCCCGCTCCTGCGCCGCCTATGAACCCTCCTCCCCCTCCCCCTCCGCCTCCCGCGCCCCCTCCCCCTCCGCCTCGCCCTCCCCCTCCGCCTGCGCCTGGCATGTCTGCGGGAATGCAATAGTAGTCATTCGCGACTCGAGCTCCGGCGACGGCTGCGGCGGCGGCTCTAGCGGCGGCAACTGCGGCGGAGGACGTGCCTGCAGGCATGCTTGCCGCTACCATACTCTGCAGAACTTGTTGCTGCTGCTGCTGCTGCTGCTGCTGGCGAAAGTGATGCTGCTGCTGAAATTGCTGAAAATGCTGCTGCTGCTGCTGCTGCTGCTGCTGCCGCTGCTGCTGCTGTTGAAACAGTGCGTCCTGTGCTGCCCGTCCCGTGATACTCATCGGCGCAGCAGCATCAAATCCATACAATGGAGGTGGTGGTGGCGGCGAAACCAACGGCGCGCCGGGAGCAAACCACCTATCGCCGCCAGGACCACACTGAACCCCAACGCCCCCCACCTCGTGAGCCGCGCTGATTTCACGGTCGCCGGCGTGTGGCATGCGCGTGTCACCACACGCGCCGATTGAATTCCCTGACGCGGGTAAGATCTGCGCCTGTTGCCATGCGCGCTGCGCTTGCCGCGGCGGCTCTTCCCCCGCAGGAACCTTCCCGTCCCGCTCCACCTCCCCCTCAGGCGACTTCCGCTTCCGCTGCGCCCTTCCACGCTGCTGCTGCTTCTGCTGCTGCTGTCGCGGACCTCCTGTTCCCGCGCCACTCCGCGGAGTCTCACATTGCGGGGGCTCACTCCGTTGCTCCCGTTGCCGCTCCTTGCCCGCCGCATGCTTCCCCGCGCCTGCCTCGTTGGGGTTGCTCGCGGGCGATACGCTGGTGTCATGCGACGGCGACGACTGCCCCTGATGAGTTAGATCGCTCGGCTCGCTCTGCGGACTGCGTTTCACCGCCGTCGGCGCCCCCGCCGCCGCCGAAGCCGCCGCCGCCGTCGCCGTCGCTGCTGCAACCGTCGCTGCCGCTGCTTCGACAGACGCGTCGTGCAAATCCAATGTTAGTAACGGATTTCGCTCACGGCGCGTATCAGCGCGTGAAACGGATGGCTGCGCCTGCTGTTTCTGCCAGGTAGCTTCCGGGGGAGGCGGCGGCGAACGCGCAACGCGCGAAGCGTCTCGTTTCGACGAGATACGTTCAGTTGTCGCTATCCCTGATATCCTCCCCTTGCGACTATTCCAGCTCCAATCAGACGGATTCAGGTCCCAGATCCCCCCTCCTGTCGCGGCGCTTGCTCCTTTCCGCACGCTGCGCTCCTCTCCCTCGCCGCCTTTCACGCTGCCGTTATCGCTGCCTTTCGCACTGCTGTTGTCACTGCCTTGCATGCAGCATGACTTGTTCTCCCCGTCTTCGCGAGACGGTTCCTCCGTTGTATGTTCAGCTCCGGTTGTACAGACGGTAGAGGTAGTTGCAGTAACACCCACAGTGAAGATGTTGGTGTGAGAGGCAGGGTGAGTTGGTTCCGTAGAGCCCACCGGTTCACCAGAAGCGGCTGAATAACGAGCAAGGAACGAGAGAGAGGGTGAGAGAGAAGGAGAGAGAGAAGGAGAGAGGGAGGGAGAGAGAGGGAGAGAGAGAGAGAGAGAGAGAGAGAGAGAGAGAGAGAGAGAGAGAGAGAGAGAGAGAGAGAGAGAGAGAGAGAGAGAGAGAGAGAGAGAGAGAGAGAGAGAGAGAGAGAGAGAGAATGCAGGTTTAACGATGTGCGGGAGACGGACATTGAGTCCTAGCAGCCAACGTTATTGGATTAAAGCGCGCGTGGAGGGCCTAATTCATGAGGATTTCAAAGCGACGAGGAATGAGGGGGAAAGAAGAACAAAAAACAATTTCCACGTTACCACATTTGCGTACCGTGTCGAAAGCCCTGAGCTTGGGGCTTGTCTGCCGAGATTTGGAAAGCAAGACTACAAGGGCCGACATCGCAACCACTCCCGACTTCCATCCCCGCACTAGCCGTAGAATTCTCCATTGCCGACACCGAAAGGTTTATGGCAAGCCAGCTGACCTCACTGCTTGCGGAGGTAAAGAACCAAGGAAGGAACGACGCGGATCCAGCTATTTAACTACGGTTTCTCACAAAAGACAATTAATCCAGGTAGAATCAGCTTGTTGGCTGATTGGGAACCGGGGATGAGGTGATTGGGATAAGCCGAACAGCATCAGTTCTGGTCAGGGACGAGCATTGTTTTCACTGGAACTCTGCTTGAGATGAGGGAGTTGGGCGAAAGGGAGGGAGATCATCACAGCAGCACCAGTGCGTTTCGCTTCGCGCTAGCAGGCCTTCCTTGGGATGATCTCGTCATATCAAAGCTGCCGAAGGGTTGTCGGGGACTGCCCGTCGCATGTTTCCTCGCATGACTGACGCCCACGGACAGCATGGGGGCGCTGGGCAGCTGAGCAAGTGAGGGTCGAGTGATTGGGAGGGAGACAAGCAGAAAATGTTTGGGAAGGACACGCACGCACGGGGTGCGGAAAATCGGACCGCATGGATGGATCGCCCCGAGAAATTGCCATGACACGTAAGACATGGTTTTTCACCCTCAGAGCCAGCGAGGCAATGTGACGCGCGTGGATACTGGGGGGCATCTGTATCGACGGCTATCTGTTCTGCAAATGAGCTGGCTGTTGAACTTGAACCCAGTGGCTGTGTGCCACGTGATACCCCTATCACTTCTCTCTGGGACACCACACCCAACACTCGCGTCGCCAATGGCCGTGGCTACTTGGAACGACCAGTTCCTTCTCTGGCTGGCGCATTTGAAGGAGCCGCCACAAGACGACTCGGAGAGTGGACCCAAAACCAATCCTGCCCAGTCCTGCTTCGTCACGTCAGACCGAAATTCCAAAAGGCCGACAAATACGACCAACCAATTGTAAACATGTCAGCATAGCCAGACAGCCTGATGGCCACACCAGCTCCTTGTGAATCCATTTGCAATTCGCAACCCCGAAGCTCTCCACCTCAGCTATTGAGAATCTCCAGAAACTCTAATCTTACACGTCGACCCCACGTGTGTTGTACAGAACGAATCCTGGCGCTCCAAAAGTTTGAAAGCGTAGAACACGGAACCCAATCTGGGCTAAGCTCCTTTACATCCAACACAAAAGGGAGTGATTCAAAACCTGACATTCTTTGTAAACAGAGAAAGAATAAGCTTCTACATGAAATTGGTAGTAAAGGAGACTGCGCTAAAACAGATAACACATTCGTGACTGAATTAAATGACATACGATTAAGGCATACAGAAACCTATATAAAATGGAATTCAATTGCATTATACACCAATTGAAGAGATTAATATGTGATTACAAGTCTATTTGGACTTATTCTCTGCAATGCCGATTGAAATTTGTTAGCTTTGAAGCCAGCAGCTAAAATAGTGACCCCCCCCCCCCCCTAGTTGGGTCTACTTTAAAAATCTAGGTGACTTTGGAAAGTTGAAGTGTTTTTCTGTAATGTTTTTGCAGACGCAGGTCGAGTCCTTCACTAAATGTTACGAAACCACAATCGTCGCAAGTATGGGCAAATGTGTCGCAAGTTTGTGACGCACAAATCCCACACACATGGCATGCAAATTTCGACCGGTACAGCAGTATGTGCAATTTACGCACAAAGACCACCTTGGTCATGGGCTTGCGATCTGCAGTAACATATGAAACCCAAGAGGAGGAAAACAACAGGGAGTTTCATGGTGACGAGATACGAGACGGATAGGGCGACAGAAACGAGGACGCGTGGGAAAAAATGTGTGACCAAAATCGCGAAATGGTAGAGCGCGATGGTGAAGAGAAGGATGGCGGGAGGGGAGAGAGCAAGGGCGGCAGGAGGGCGTTTCGAGGAGAGCGCGAGGGGGATGAGGTGGGTGATGTGAGATGAAATACCAAATGCGACCAGAGAGTATTTCGGGGCAAGCGCGAGGACGACGAGGGCGACGGGAAGGGAGGACAAATTGGGTGGGAGAGGAGTGAGCGAGGGCGACATATCAAATTATATGCATGTTATATATGTGTAGGCTGTAGTGGGGTAGCCAATATGGGGTACAACCGTATTAGGGTTTCATATTTGTACCAAACCCTGATCTAGTCAATTAATTCCTGCTACTAGATTCTAACATGGTTTCAGAGAACTAGGTCCGTAGGACCGTCTTTTTTTTTTTCCGTGCCCACCTACCGTTGCGGTTACCGCGCTACCCCACGTGTTGTCCTGCGCGCGCCTTCCCCTGCCTTGCCTTGTGACGTGCTGCGCTCCGCGCGCCGTCCTGCAGCCCTCGCGCTGCCTACTGTTGCCCTTGTCGAGACTTAGGCAAGGATGGATTCAACTATCGAGAGAGTTTTACAAGTAGGAAAACCCTAAGGGGTTATACCCCACAGAATCTACCCCACAGAATCTACCCCACTACAGCCTACCAATAACTACAACATATTGTGAAAATTGAACGAGGAAGGAAGAAGGGAGGAGTTCACTAGCAAGCAGTTGAGTACATATAGGAAACCCTAAGTTGGGCTGTACTCACTATTGAGTACCCCACTGCAGGCTAGACAAACATAACATTCTGACACACCCCCATAGCCCCAGTGGGGTGTAATAAGCACAATGAGCAAGCAGGCATAGAGCACGAGTTCACAATAGCGAGCAAAGCTAGAGTCATTCACAAAGGGCAAGTGAGCAGGAGGAGGCGAGACTGTAAGAGGAGAAGAGATAGGAGGCGACGGCTGAAGCTGCTGACACACGGGCTACAGGAGTCACACTGGCTCAGCAGCTACCGGAACAGTGCTCCGGACTACTGGAGTAACTGGCTCCGCGGCTAAAACTAGCGGCAGACGAGCAACGGACCCACGGGCGACTGGCATAGCTGGCTACGACTGGGCTACCGGAGCAGCGCCCCGGAATACTAGTGCTGCTGACGACACGACGACACCCTCCGTTCAACCAACCTCCTCCAGCTGCCCCACACCTCTCGACACACACCTCCTGCTCAAACCCTAGCTCCACTCCCATAGCACCCCCCTTACACCCTAAACCACAGGCTCACACACATCCACCTCCCTCAAAACCCTA